TTCACTTTTCCTAAATGCCTCTCAACCTCATATCTTCAGCAAACTGAATTTGTACCTTTCTGTATTTCTCCCTCCTTTGAAGAAATATCTTTCCATTTCTCTTTACACTCAGATAAACTTTTGTTACTTTATTTCACATGGACTCTTTCGCCTGGGCAAAACCTAGAGTCTCTGGTTAATGTAATGTGTCATTGCAAGTGTCTTTGCTTGGCCATCTCTACAAGGACTTGCCTGCCTGAGCTCTGAAATTATGTAATATTAATTGGCCTTTAATTTGGAAAGATTATATAATATACTTAAATAAAAACCTATGTTAATACATAGGTTAAAAATTACAGTTAAAAAGATAACTGACTGAATTGCTTTTGAGCTCATATGGGCAAATTCATATTTACTTTCCCACGTACTTAATGTGAAATATACCAGAAAGTCCAAATTAGAAAAGTACAAGGATTTAAATCTATGTTACAAAAATATGTTTCTGTGGCTCTGGAGGTTGTAAACATGCTTTCCAAGTAGAGCTGTATATTGCATTTATGCTGATTTAATCATTCATTAAACATTACTAAGAGGCCAATTATGCTGTTCAAGAATAAGATGTTTTATGAGAAAATGACAAAAAGATACATGTAATCATTGAAATGCCAGTTTACAATCAGATAGGATGGGAAATAATCCCTTTAGCAAGCTTAAGCTTTTTACATATTAATGGCAACATTGGGGAGAATGGAAACAGGTCTTTAACAGCCTTGCGGCCTTCCAGCCCTAATCAGAAAGTTAGTGCTTGTGATGCTCTGGACAACGATTTAATGCACTGTTTTATTCTGTGGCAGAGATACCATGAGAGATGTTCTTTAATTGACCTAGTTGTAGTTTAACAAGTGTGTCTACAAATAGAAATATTAGCATAGACAAAATATGGGTTAGAAATATTATTCTGACACTTCAGAGGGGTGAGATGTTCTGGGGAGGTAAGAGAGTAAAGATCCACTGGGACACTTCCAGGCCAGTGTCAAAAACTTTGTGGAAAAGAGAGAATGGAGGGACGACATATACTGGTAAAATCATAATGGTGAAATCATGGCTGCTGTAGAAATGGGGAGGAAGAGAAACCCTTTCCAAATCTCTTCTAATACAATTGACATTGTACATCATACATTGACATCATACAAAATTCCTGGGTCATAGGTGCAAAACAAACAAGAAATGTGTTTTTTTGCACACAATGTTGTAAAGTGGTGGAACTCCTTGCTGCAGGATCTGGTGGATGCTCTAAGGTCGTATCAGTTCAAAATGTAAGCAGATAATGAAAATAAAGTTGTTTGTGAGCTATTAAGCACCATCTTCCTCTTGCTGTTGAAGTTTCTCAGCCACAAAGTTTTACACTCTGGGAAAATGTGCTATGGAAACATCAGTCTGGTTTGTAAACCTGCCATTAGCCATTTGCTTTCTATAGCCATTGGAGGGAGGATGAGTCAAATGGACCTTTCAGCACTACCATTCTTCTGGCTTCACATGTGTACATTTGTTTATGTATCAATAAAAGATATTTAAAAAAAAATCGTGTGGCCTTGCACTAATTCCTAAGAGAAAATCATTCTGCATTGTTTCTCTGATGTACACTATGTACCAGAGACCTAAAAAAGACAACATTCAATAAAAACCAGACTGCGTCACTGAAAGAGCTGAGACTGCTCTGGTGTGTATGAGATCAGAAAACAGAAAAGACTACACAAGGCCAAAAAACTGCAGAGGTAAGCTGAAAATGAAGAAAACAAGACAGTTATTAATTTTAATGTTCTCATGAACACTAATCACCTTTGAATCTCCCTGGGTCATACGTTCTGAAAATCATACAGTTCCCAGTTTTCCTCCAGGATCTGAGCTCTCCTATCTTTTCTCTAAGCACATTTGGACTGAAGGCTGAGTAGGGTTAGGCAAAGAAAAACCATCATGATCAGAGCAGACACTCAATACTTATGAAAAATTATAAGGAGCCCAAAGGCATGGGGACTTGTTTGCAATTAAGAAAATGTGTGTGGGACCAAGAGGTCCTGGGGCAAGAACATCAAAACCAGGAAAGAGCCAGGTAAGCAGAAGATAGGTTCCAGATAAACTTAAACAAAGCACCACTCCAGCTTGGTCATGCCAAGCATTGATATTCTCCAACTGTTTTATGAACTCGAATATCTGGCTGCCCAAACACACAGTCCCCTTTTCCCAAATCCAGTTGGTAAGCTGTCCCTGTTGTCATGCTGGCCTCTGAGCAACAGACCCAAGTGATGCTGTTGAGAGGGAGAAAAATGTATTTCAGCGATAATATTGAAGGGTTACAGCTGCCAAACACGCTGTGTCTGTAGAAACACCTGTTGAGTAGCTGTTGCAGTGGGAAGAGCAAGATGAAGAAAGACAGCTGTAAAAGTGCCAGGAGCAGTAGGAAGCTTTACTAAGACTGCTTTGTGCCAGTTAGAGACGTGCCAAATTATTTGGCTGCATTTCAAATATCTGGGTGTCCATTATATGTGCCAGCTCACGCTCCCAGGGAATACTTCAGCACTAACATCACTATTGCCATGTTAGTGTTGCTCTTCCGCTTTAATTTCAGCCTTTATGTTTCTGTATTTCTTTTATTTCTAGTTCATTATAGTGCAAGGGAAAGCCCAGTATTGCAGTGTAGAGGACAGAATAAGGGCTGGGATCTGCAGCTGGTAGGAAGACAAAGCATCACTGTAAAGATTTTTGGCAATTAGCTTGAGAGATTCGCTGAGTTATTATTTTGTGTCTCTCCTGTTGTTACTGGTGTTTTGTTGTTTTGTTTTGGTTTGTTTGTTTTGTTTTCATAGAGAATAATAATTGTATCTTTTACAGTTAGCTAACCTTCAACTTCTCCTGCATGCCCATCTAGGAATCCTTGTGTCCTGGGTTTAGCAGTAGCAGTCATTTTTTCTCCTTCTTGGTAGCTGGTGCAGTGCTGTGTTTTGACTTTCGGGCTGGGAACAGAGGGGGGAACTGGGAGGGTAAAAGAATGTCTCCTTCACAGGTTGACCACCCGAGAAGGAGAAAAAAGATGTGTAATTGCTAAGCACTTCTATTATATACCTCCCAAAGTATAAAGGTGGTGACCATACTGGGAACATAAGCCAGATAAGTTTCATGATCAATAATTCTACTGTATTACAAGTCATTATACCATAAAGTACAATGAGACAAAAACTTTAGCCCAAGCCCCACACTTGAAAAACACTAATACAGCAAATACCAAATGGAAGTAAGGTACGATATACTGAAACTGTGAGATCAAGAGGAACAACTTTGAGAGCCAATAAATCAGCATTGTGACAAGTGACTGTTAATTCCGTCAGATCTGTCGTTATCTCAACCCCTTCGTGTCCCTGTTCGGGCGCCAAAAAGAACTGTCGTGGTTTAACCTCAGCCAGACAGCTTGTGCACTCACTCCCAGTGATTGGTGCCAGGCTGGAAGCAATGGAGGCCCACGTTCCCCCCCCACCTCCCCAGGGGCTGCCCCCCCTTCCCCGCTCCCAGAGGGATGGGGAGGAGAATCGAAAGAATGCAACTCCCACGGGCTGAGATAAGAACAGTCTAGCAACCAATGTACAACACAAATCACCACCGCTACCACCACTAACAACAATGATAAGAGATAATAGGAAGGGAAAAGAGTACAATACCACGTGCTGAACAACGAGTCCGACCCGGCAGACCCCCTGTCCTTCCGGGTAACTCCCAGTTCCCCCCTCCGCATGATGTGCTGTGGTATGGAATACCTCTTTGGTCAGTTTGGGTCAGGTGTCCTGTCTCTGCTTCCTCCCGGCTTCCCATCCTCCCTGGCAGAGCATGAGGCTCACAAAGTCCTTGGTCAAACCAAAACAGCATTTTTATCAGCTTTGTTCCCAGCCCAAAAGTCAAAACCCAGCCCTGCACCAGCTACCAAGAAGGAGAAAAAATGACTGCTACTGCTAAACCCAGGACACCTTGAAACTGCAAAGCTAAAATTTGGGAAGTTTATAGTGGGAATGGAGCTGAAATTTGAAAGTTTAGGTGGGCCAATTAATATAGAAATATAATGGCAGAATACTATTGGGGAAGATTTCCACATGAACTGTACCTATTCTGGAGGACTTATGCACCATCCATAGCACTGCAATACCTGATGAGGAATGAGAGAGCTCACAGGTGGAAGAGGAATTTCTGTTTTCACAGACAATCTTTCAGGATGGCCAGAAGGCTGAACCCAAAGAGTGGTGGTGAATGGAGATAAATCTAGTTGGCAGCTTGTGAAAAGTGGTGCTCCTAAAGGCTCAGTGCTGGGGCCAGTTCTGTTAATATTATTATCAATGATCTGGACGAGGGGATCAATTGCAGCCTTGGCTAGTTTGCAGAGGACACCAACTGCGTTATTCATTGTGGATCAGAAGGCTCTGCAGAAGAATATGGACAGGTAGGATCTATAGGTCAAGGCCAGGGATATGAGATTCAATAAGGATCAGTGCCAGGTCCTGCACTTCAGTTACAACAACCTCGTGCATCACTACAGGCATGGCAAAGAGTGTCTAGAAAAGGCCACAGAAGGATGTTGGTGCCTCTCCTACACTGCTGCAGCATAAATGGGCTGCCCTCCAGCTGCTCTTGCAAAGTGCAGACCACAGATGTCTCTTGGAGAACCATGCTCATTGAGATGATGTTTGGCGTACAGCTAGGCTACTCAGACATCTTCTAACTCAGGATATTCGATGATGGTGAGATTTCCGTTGGCAGGCAGAATATATTTATTACAAAATACAGCACCATGCAAGCTTCTCTGAACAAAGTTGACTGCTGCCAAGCTGTAACCAGAGCACGAGGGCAGCTGTGAGTCACTGAACTGGGCTGGGTGTGAAGGAATGATGCGCCCCCAGCGCCTGTGACATCACAGGGGACAAGTCACAATGGGGGATGGTTATGAGGGTGCCAGCAGGCAGCACTGGCCCAGTACGGCCTGGGACAGCAGTGAGTGTGCATGCAGGGGGGAGGCTGGGCTGGACAAGGGCCAGGGCAGAAACCTGGCCCCCTGGGGGTGGGTGCTCACCCTGCATCGAGGCACTGGCTGCAAGCGCATGGGCAGGGCACACTGCTGCTGGCACCGGGCCTCGCACAGGCCTTGCTGCCTCCCAGCTGCCTCGTTCCCTCTCCTGCCTGTCCCCAGCTCCCTGCAGCTCCTGCATCCACTGCCCCCTGCCACCAGCTCCCTTCCTCCTTCCCTCCCTCCCAGCCCCACTGAATTCTTTCTCTCTTCTGCAGGCCATGGCTGTCACAAACCTCTTACACTGGGTTCTGCAACAGCTCATCCTGAATGTGCGTTTCGTCAATGATGAGCTGGATGAAGCCACACGTGACCGCATGGAGCACCGTGACAAGCAGCTGAGCTGGGCGATGGCTCAGCTGCTGCAGGAGCTGGAGCACAAGAGCCAGTGGCAGAGGAGCAAGGAGCAAACTCCGGTGGCCTTGAGAGGCCTGCTCTTTGCTGCCTTGCAGCACTGGCAATTCTGGGCTGTTGCTGGCATCCTGCTCCTCCTCATTCTTGGGCTCTGCTGGTGCCTCAGGAGAAGAAGCCATGAAGAGGACAGCAGCAGTGAAGAGGACAGCTCCAGCAGCAGCAGTAGAGAAGAGGAAGAGTGGGAGGAGGAGAACGAAGAGGAAGAAGTCAGTGAATATGCAAATGACCTGGCAAGGCATTTTGAGGAGCACATACAATGGCCTGATCAGAACCTGTTCACAGAGTGCGAATCTGTGAGGAACCTTGTGAATGCTTTTATCCTTGTTGCCAGACAATACTTATTAGATAGCTCCTTCCCAGTGCTGGAACCATGCTTTGGCATAGGCAGCACACACGAAGGCTGGAGTCCCTATGAAGAAGACATCGTCTATGAAGTGCTTGTGCCCCTGGCCCCCCCACCTGGCCACACCTTTCTCCCGGAGCCCTGCAATCTGGGGGAGATGCCAGCGAGGAGCTTCCGCATCCGCGTGGAGCTGGAGTGTACATGCATGAGAGAGCAGCTGGTGGGGGACATGCTGTGCTTCGTCCACCACGACGAAGAGGAGCTGAGAAGGCATCAGGGCCCCAGCCTCCTACACACCCTCTGCACCGGCTCCTATCTAGATGTGCAGAAAACAGCTTGCAGGATTCATCAGCTGGTGAAAGCATGCTGGGCGGTTATGCCTCATTCACACCAGTGGTGTTTAACTATGCTGCCCTGCAGCCGCTCCTGCAAATTCAAGGTGGCAAAACCAGAGAAGCAAATCCTCATTGAAATTACGTTGGGCATGCAGCAAGGCAACTCGCACATCTTCATGAGCAGCCAGCCTAGTGAGGCTCTCTTCACCCCAAGCACAACCTGGACACTGAGCTGCGCTGTGGCAGAGGCAACGTTCTTTGAGCTGATGACCAGGCAGGCCCCAGATGCCAGCTTCCCCCTCAGATGCCTGCAGCTCTGTGCCCGCATTCTGGTGGGCACAGGCTTTTCCACCTATACCTTGAAGACAGTGGTGATGCACCTCTTGAACACCATACCCCTGTCAGGCTGGCACAGGACACATTTCCTGCTGCGGCTGGATGACATCATGCGGTACCTGTGCCACTGCTTGGAGGAGAAACGCCTCAACCACTTCTTCTTTGGGAATGAGAAGGTTCCTGAGGAGATCATCTTGCCCCCAGCCTTGCAAGGAGCCGAGCCATTCAACCTCTTCCAGCATCTGGCACAGGATCCGGATGCCCAAGCTGAGGCAATGAGGGAGTTCATGGACATGCAAGACTGCCTCACAAGAATGCTGACCTATGGCCACTGAAAGTGGTCTTTGTGCAGAGCTGTGTTTGCAGGGTGCACAGCTGACAGCAGATGACAAACTTGTAGCTGAGGGAAAATGAGGGGAGAGACAGAAAGAGGATGCAGAAAGCACAAGGAAAACTGCGCCACAGGCCTCTCAGAACAGTGGCAGCATTCTCCCCTTGACGTTCTCCCCAGCGCAGCAGCAGGTTATACCTGTGGTGGTGTCCTGGGTTCAGCAGTAGCAGTCAATTTTCTCCTTCTTAGGATCCTTTTTGCACTAGGGTCTCTGACTGTAGTGCATATAACAATGTCTAAACCAACAATCATTTAACCACCTTCCCTCACAACAGGACCCTTCTTGAGAATAAAGCTCATTTATGAATGAAAGACGAATCTGTGCTTTTGCAATGAGAGAAAATACCGCGGTGTACAAACTGGCAGAAGACCAACTATGTGCAGGACAATTTATTTTTTCCCTTTTAAGCTAAATTTCCAAACACCCTTTGCTCTAATTGCCCTTCTCTTTCCCCAAAACCAGTCAATCTGCTCCTCTTCTGGATTGTTTAGGCCAGGATTAGCATCCATATGCCTGATTTATTCTGATTTTACCTGCAGGTGCAGGTCAAAGACACAGCAGCTGCACTTCAGTAGGGCTTCCAAAAATGGTGTTCATGCACGATGCTTCTCTGGTCACAAAGATCATGCTGAAAATCTACTTTCAGGAGTGGTCCCACCTTGGTGTACTCCCAGGTCTCCCAGGAACGTAGCTCAGGCTGTCTGTAGATCCCATCTCACCTTCAAATGGGAAATGTCCAAGGCAGAGTTCACTGCCTGACACATACACCGTGTTTGGTCCCATGACACAACCACAGGGGCAGAGAAAGTAGATGGAAGGCCTGAGCTGATCTTTTCACAGCTAGGCACATGCTAAAAGGCAATGAATATGGAGCAAGAGCATGAATATGTAGAATGTAGGTGTGGCAGAGCCTCAAAGCCTCGCTACACAGCCATGTGGTCATATTACCATAGTAACTGACCACTCAGTTGTCCTTAATGTATTTCTTTATCCTCACAACATTCTGGCAAGGTTAAAAAAAAAGACACTTGTGTCTCTGTGTTCCACAGAGTAACCTGTGTGCAGTGGCTCACCCAAGGGCACACAAGCAGGCTGCCGGCACAGTGATCTGCCTTGACTGCCGCAGTCTAGGGCAGCACAGAAATCATGGCATTTTCTTTCTTTCTTGCACTAAGGAAGTCGGTTGCAGCTGCTTCTTCATTTGCTGCTACTTTCCACCCACAAGTGCAGACCAGACTAACTGGGGGATGTTGCAGAGAAGCCGACGGTGGAGGGAGGCCAAGTGGAATGTTGGAGTCTGTCCCCTTCCTCAGGGCATGGAAGAACAGATGATTTCACCTGTAGTGGTCATAAAAAAAAATTATTTCCTTCATCTCTTTCATGAGCAAAGGCCGGTGCTGAGCCTAGAAGATTATTCAATAACATCCCATAGAAATAATACACTTCTATATCGAAACCAAAGTAAAATTGTATTTCATGATGTGAACAAAGGTACCCAAGTTGATTTTGCCTGTTTCTCCCTCTTTTTTTTCAAATTTAATATCACACAGAAGACAGAAATGAAATCTGTATTTAAATGGCTGTGGAACGTTGTGCATTTAAAGTGCACAGCAAGTCACTCCCTAAAGCACTCCATATGATATGTAAATCTTTTGATCTTTCACAAAATGCATGAGTTCCATAAAGAATAATGAGTACTAGCTTGGGAAGTACAATATTGACTGTCACTGTAGTGCATTTAGCCATAATTATTATTTGCACGGCTTCTGCAACATAACTGGAGGGGAGAGTCCTGGGAATATTTTTAATGCATTCTAATAGCTACTAGAAGAGATTTTATTTTGTAATAGATGAATTCTTTCTTTTGGGTCTACAAGCATTTTTTTTCAATTTATTTATTATATTTTTTATTCTTTATAGAAAACATCTATGGGGAAATGCAAAAGAGCTAACAAGTCCCAAGGAAAGAAAAAATTACATCCTGCCCTGCCGTTAGCTGCAAAAAAGCAGAGAAATCAACAATAATGTTTAGTTATTTTTTAAGCCAATATAAATAAAGGGTTTTTTTAATAAACAATCCTAGGTATGATTTGCCTGAGGGAGCTTGAAGCAATAGTTCCCCTTTGAGGCATTTTGCAGAACCAGACAGATATTCTGCAAGGTGTAAATGCAAGAAGATCCCATAGGATCTGGTTTTCAGTGGCCACTGAGGTCAGTGGAGCCTTTGGTACCAATCCAGCATATTGCCTGTGACTTTCAGCAGGGAAAGGATCTAAGTGTCCTGGCCCGGTAGCAGTTGGTGCTTACTGCCAGTACTACTGGTGGGGAGGGAGGAGCTGAGCCATGGCAAGTTTGCATGCTGAGCCTTTCCCGTCGGTCTTCCCAGCTGTCCAGAGGCGGGGAGCTGAACTGTCTTACACAAGATACATCTCCTATCTTTCTCACAGAAATCATGATCCTGTTTATTCACCCTGGAGATGAGAAGACTGCAAGCTCATGGTGCAGGAAAGTGAGGTAAGAATAACAGCCATCAGAAACACCACATTAAATAAATTAAAACTAAAGGATTAATTTATTACACCTCTGCCTTCTGGTTCCCTTCCTGAAAATCTCAGTGTCTCTCTGAAGGTGTATTCCAAGTAGCTTGATGCATTTTTTACTTGGCATTCCAACAAAGCCCAGAAGCTACAGAGCAAGCTAAGAGTTGGTTGAGCTAGCAAAGAGATGGTCAGCATTCCCAGGAACACAAAACACAGCAAATGGGCATGGATGGCTCTGTTGTTTGTGGGTTACATAGGAGAAGGCAGATAACTGAAGATGACAATTTCTTGTAACACAGAAAAAAGTGTTCCAAAGAGACTTTTAGTAAAGCCAAGTGCAGCTTTACCATTGACTTCTCAGGGAGTGGTGTAACCCAGACATGTGACAGGTCATGTGTATGACCAGGTACTGACTGCCTGACAGCTCTTTGGTGAACAGTTCAACCAGTCAGGAAAACAGATTTGCAGCTGAAGAAACAACATGCATACCAGAACCAAACACAAAGATTGGTCTGTGTCCCTGGTGACTGCTCGGTTCAGAGGACTAGACCTTTCCTTGTTTCAAGAAACAATGATTCTTAATAGTTTGCATTGGTCTCATCTCAAGGTCCAGTCTGCAATGAGAACGTAATGTTTTGTCATTTTGTGCCTCAGTTTCTCTGACTGTAAAATAGGCATAGTGCCATTTTCTTTCTTTATAAAAGCACTTTGAGGGCCGGTCAGAGGAGGGAATGTCGTAATTAATTATATAGCTGAACAATGATAAAGTACTGCAATAGAAAATTGGTCCTCTGATTTGAAGTAGGGTTCAGAAGGACAAGGTGGTAAAAGAAATACACTTTCTGAGTCAATTTTGCTGAACCAAAGCACATTTTCACACAGAACAGGATTTGTGAATTTTTTTTCAACCTCTTCCAACTTCATCTCAACCTAGAAAGGATGTAGGACTTGAAAAACTAGTTCTGTCCATGGCAAGGAAACATCAAAATCCCTTTGTCTGTTTGACTACTTGGTTTAAACTCTGGGACACATCACTGGGACACATTGCTTCAATTTTTTTCATTGCTCTTATCCTTGAAGATTTGACTCCTGCTCAGCATTAATCATTCAGTTGGTCTTTAAAGGACTTATGAGGCTAGTGTGGAGCGTGATTTAGATCTTGTAAAGTGAGCTAATTCTGTCTGGTTTATTTCCTGGTGCTGAACTGCCCTACCTTTTCTGGTATAAATTTTAGTTTCCCATCTTAGAAACATTGCTTCATGCACAAGCCTGTCTTTAATGGTATGAAAAAAACAAATGAGTTTGGGTTTAATGACCGTATTGTTGCCTGTAGAACAAGAACTAGGTTGTTGATTTTAAGACTTTCTTTTTCAAGTCTGGACCATAAAGATCACTTCAAATAAAGGATTCCTCTGTGAAAATATTTGACAGAAATAAACTGTGCCAGTGCCCCAAAATCTACTGAACTTATTTACCTGGTAAGACTTGTACTAGTTTTCCATAACATACTGCCGTTTATTGTGCTCTGGAAAGGCACTATAGTGATTTCAAGAGGAGAAAAACAAGAAAGATTATTCATTCCACATCCTCATGCAATTCTTTTGTAGGTGGCTTTCAACAAAGGGTGATATTGGATTACATTAATTTTGGTTCTTAATAAACTAGTAAATCTCCCATTGTTCTATGTTGTCCAATTATAAAAGCAATGAATATGAGACTAAGCACTTCAAGATAACCATAGCTTTAAAGATAGACAAAAAGCTTTATAGATTAGGATCATAATAAAACTGCCATTTTTTGTAGCATTTTGATGAATAATATTTTGCGAACTAAAGCGTTCTCTTAGGAGTGTCAATAAATTACTCTTTAAGTGAGAATCACTGCAAATCCCAGGAAGAGCTTCCGAATATCTAGAGTACTGAAAAGGAAAGGAAGCAAATCTTTAGTAGAGGTAATTTCCTTAGTGTCCAAAGATGTGATTATGAAGGGTATTTCCTGAGGTCTGTTTGCCTGTGGGAGTCATCTGTTGGGATTTTCCTGAAATGTTGCTGTTGCCTTTACATTTAGCACATGCTGCCTTTTCAAACATGCTTTGTAGCAACAATGTATTACTGAATCTTCAGTACTTCGTAAAGGCGTAGTGGGCAACAAAAATTAGCATTTTGAAGTCAGAAATTGCTTATTTTGCTTGGTCCAAAAGAAGGGTTTCCAAAGTCATCCAAGAACTGCTCTGAGGTGTCTCTGGAGGTAATGAGGAACAACACTGGCAACTGGTTTAAATACACTGGGCAGGGACTGGACCACTGTAGCAAAATTTTAAGCACTGAAAGTTGTGAAAAAAGAGTTACAAACCACAGCTATAAATACCACAGACCAAGTGCTCTGTGGGCTGCTGAACTGGGATCGTTGCCTTACTAAACTCAGTAAGAGTTCATGAGACATTTACAAAAACGTTTATTAATCTATTAATTGCCAACAGATTCTTTGTCAGCAAATCCTTAATGGAAAATAGAGCCCTCCACTCCTTTAATTTTCATGATCTTACCTTGCATGCATCTTCCAAAACTGTGTTGTGAAATGGCTTTACACTGTATATTTGACTTCTAGTAGGCAAGGAGCCGTGACATATGGCTCTTGCCAGTGGTGACACAGGATAAATGTCCCACCCAGTTGCTCAACCGAGTTCTGTGTTAAAGTGCAATATAAAAGGAACATGAACCACAGATGTCAGTTAGGCAGAGAGGAAAATACATAATGAAGAGATGTAGAAAGATGTGTGTGACAGATGTGAGGTATGTGTAGATATCTGAGCCCCAGCTTTTGTCTTGTCTATGTGAAGGTTCAGCATCTGCCTTTTCTCTTGGCTTGGGTTAGGGTGAATTTTGCATTAGGAGGCTGCTACAATCCCAGAGAAAACCTGAATCCTCTCTTTGGATGCATCCTGCAAGGGACACCACACTTGGCAGATCTCGCAGCAGTATTACTGGCATAGCTCAAAGTAGAAATGAAGGGTAGAAGAGAAGATTCTTCCCTGCAGTCAATCCTCTCCTCACACCCTTACCCTGTGTCTGCTTCCCAGGATTTCAAGCATGTCCATCTCTTCCTGGATGCATCTTCCACCCAAGAATGAGTTGCTGGGTATAAATAATTCTTTTCACTCAGGACTGTCAGTCCCATCATGGGACCATGCCTGAAACTGCAATCACTTTTTGATCAGTTCTGCTGAAACAACCTGTTATCTTTTATAATAACATTTCCATTGGGAATACTCAGATGCTGAGGCTAAAAAGAACCATTTTGTAGCACACACACAACTACACACACAGTGACTTTACAGTTTTAGCTTTTTGATTTTCCAGTGGGTATATTTGCCTGGGTTTCTGTTGTTTTGGGGTTTTTTTTAGACCACAGTCATCTGCTTCATAGTTCTTACTATGTCTAGTTTACAGGTAATAATTGCCATTAAAATGGAAGAGAATGTTCTTTGCACAAATGCATTGTTTTGCTCCTTTTAAAGAACACAGGAGCTACAAAACTAGATGAAGCTGATCGAAGGACACGTTTATTTAATTATTACTTTCAGAAACATGTTCTCTATATTGCCAATAGCAGGTGCAGGCTGTGACGTGGCATTTGCTCTGGTAATTATACAGTTTTGTAAATAGCAGAGTAAGTCAGGATGAAAGATAGCACTGCCCTCAGGTTGTGGGAAATTATTCAGCTTTCTCTTTACGAAATTTCAAATGATACATTTGAATGATAAGGTCTCTTTGATTCCTGTTGAACTTTCCCTTCCCACCACCTTATTCTTAAGAAATGAAACTGGGAATGAGAGAGTGAGAGGGACTGAAGGGTAAATACATGGAAGGAGCAGTTTGTGACAGATGTTATTGCAGTGAGTTCCTGCAGGAACTGAGTGAGAGGTAAAGCTGATTCAGATACCCTGTGCTGAAGGTTCATTAAAGGACACTGGGACATAATTAAAATGGTCTTTTGGTAAGACCAGTGCTTTCCCCAGGAGGCACTGCAGCTAACCTTGCAGTCATGTGCCCACAGCCAGTCTTGCTCTGATATTTTCCATCCTCTGCTATACCCTACTCCTCTTCCATGTTTGAAAGAGACTGGCCATTCTCCAGCATCCCCACCCCATATTTCTTTCCCTAGGGAAGGGATAAATGACAGGTCCTTTGCAGGTGGATAGGTGTACTCGAATTCTTCTCTAAGAGGAAGACAGCCACCAAGGAATGCCAAGGGAAATATCTTCCAGTCACCAAGAGATACTTCCACAGAGAAATGAGATCACTAAATAGCCTTTGTCATCCTCTGCTGTAAACTGTTCCCTGAACATCTCCTCCCCTTGGGGTGCAAAAACACAGTGGCTCAAAGCTGTCAGCTACATTCAGATTTGGAACTGCGACTCCACAGGAGTAGCTGTCCCCTTTCAAACAGAATCATAGAATCATAAAATAGGTAGGGTTGGAAAGGACCTTAAAATGATCAAATTCCAGCCCTGTGCCATGGGCAGGGACACCTCACCCTAAAACATGTCGCCCAAGGCTCTGTCCAACCTGGCCTTGAACACTGCTGGGAATGGAGCATTTACAACTTCCCTGGGCAACCCATTCCAGTGCCTCACCACCCTCACAGCAAAGAACTTCTTCCTTATATCCAATCTAAACTTACCCTGTTTAAGTTTGAACCCATTACCCCTTGTCCTGTCACTACAGTCCCTAATGAATAGTCCATCCCCATCATCCCTATAGCCCCCCTTCCGATACTGGAAGGCTGCTATGAGATCTCCATGCAGCCTTCTCTTCTCCAGGCTCAACAGCCCCAACTTTCTCAGCCTGTCTTTGTACGGGAGCTGCTGCAGACCCCTGATCATCCTCGTGGCCCTCCTCTGGACTTGTTCCAACAGATCCATGTCCCTTTTATGTTGAAGATGCCAGAACTGCACACAATACTCCAGGTGAGGTCTCACGAGAGCAGAATAAAGGGGCAGGATCACCTCATTCCACCTGCTGGTCACGCTCCTCTTGATGCAGCCCAGGATATGGTTGGCTTTCTGGGCTGCAAGCGCACGCTGAAGCCAGCTCATGCTCATTTTCTCATCGACCAACACCTCCAAGTCCTTCTCTGCAGGGCTGCTCTGAATCTCTTCTTTGCCCAGCCTGTAGCTGTGCCTGGGATTGCACCAGCCCAGGTGTAAGACGTTGCACTTGGCATGGTTGAACTTCATAAGGTTGGCATTCCTTCCCTCCAGTGTATCAACCAAACTACAGAGCTTGGTGTCATCGGCAACTTGCTGAGGACGCACTCAATCCCACTGTCCATGTCACCAACAAAGATTTTGAACAAGACAGGTACCAACACTGATCCCTGAGGGACACCACTTGTTACTGGTCTCCAAATGGACATTAAGCTGATGACCAGAAATCTGAGTGCAGCCACCCAGCCAGTTCTTTATCCACCAAGTGGTCCACCTATCAAATTGATGTCTCTCCAATTTAGAGACAAGGATGTCATGTGGCACAGCGTTGAACACTTTGCACAACTCCAAGTAGATGACATCAACTGCTCTACCCCTGTCCATCAGTTCTGTAGCCCCATCATAGAAGGCCACCGAATCGGTCAGGCAGGATTTCCCCTTAGTGAAGCCATGCTGGCTGTCACCAACTACCTCATTGTTTTTCATGTGCCTTAGCCTGCTTTCCAGAGGTATATACACACCTAAGGTGAGCTCCAAATGAAGCTGGCTCTTTGGCTGGAGCACCTGAAATAACTCTGCATCACTCCAAGCTTTTATTAGAGGTGCTGGCAGCTGACTGGGCGTGTTGGGATGGAATGATGCCCCCCTGCCCCAACACATCTAGTTTAAAGCATCCTTGACCAGTCTGGCAAGCCTCCTACCAAAACCAGCTCCACCAGCCTCCAGTAGGCCTGGCCTACTGAGTCCCACACTCTAGATACCCAAACCCTTGACTACAACACCACTGTTCTAACCATTCATTAACTTGCCAAATCCACCTGGCCTTTTTAGGGTCCTCCCCTGTATCGTCACGAATTGATTTAAAAAATATCTGAGCTCCAGAGCCCCTAACCACCTCTTCCAGGGCTCTGTAGGCCTTCTTTATGTTCTCTGGGCTACTGCTATCTAGATCACTAGCACTCACATGGATCACGAGAAGCGGGTAATAGTCTGTTGGACTTACTAGAGCAGGCAGCCTCTCTGCAACATCCCTGATCTGAGCCTCTGGTAGGCAACACCCCTCCTTTGAGACTGAGTCAGGCCAACAGATGGGTGCCTCTGTTCCTTTCAAAGTAGAGTCCCCTACTACTATGACCCGCTGATTTTTCCTGGCAGCACCAGTAGTGATCCTCTTTACTGGTGCATCATCCAGCTGTTCATGTGGTGAGGTGTGCACTTCCTCATTAGCCCCTGCAGAACTGTGAAACAGCTCTGGGTGGGGACATCAGATTTAGGAGGAAGCCCCTTGCTTTTAATTGTCCTCTTCCTCCTTTTTTTTTTTTTTTGTTTTGTTTTGTTTTGTTTTGTTTTGTTTGTTTGTTGGTTTGGTTTTGGTTTTGGTTTGTGGTGGTGTTTTGGTTTTTTGGTGTTTTTTTTTTTTCTGTTACTAGCTCCCAGCTTTCTGGATTAATGCCTTCTTCCTTTCCTGTATGTGCTATGGTGGATGCCTATGGCCCCTGCACAGTTTGGGCCTCGAGCAAGCAGTCCTGCTTCCTCTCAGCTTCCCTGACATCTTTCAATCCTATTGGCAGTGTCCCGCAGCTCAGCCCCTGCTGCAGGAGGACCTCCACCAGGGCGCACCCGGTGCAGCTCTGCCCGGTGTGCACCCTGGCCCCAAGAGACCAGTGCAGGCACTCTCGACACCCCGAGCGCTGCACTACAGCCTCCCCTCTCATCGGCTCTGTCTGGGTGCCTACGCTGCCACCTCCGGAGCAGCCAGAGCAGAGCTCCCCGACCCGGAACTGGTCATGAGGAGAGCGCTCACGAAGCCGCGGTCCCCCCTAGTACCGCCGCCCGTGAGTCCCTGCCCACGTCAGCGGAGCTGTCTGCTGCTGGAAAAGGCCTGGAGGGTGCGTGAAGCTTCCTCGGTGGCTCTTGCCGCTCTGAATTGAAGCTGCTGGACGCTGAGCTTCCCCCCGCTCCCGTGTTGAAGGCGTCCCCTCTGGAGATACCTCAGCAATTGACCCATCAATTTAAAATAACTGGAGATTAAGAACTAAAGCCTGTTCCTGTAATCTGCTCAGTGCAGATCCACAAACAGTTTTTTGCAGTAATGTTGAGCATGCATGTCTCTCAATGGCTTGAACAATTATGAGAATGTATAAAATCTCCTGGCAGTATTTCCAAACATAGGTACCTAAAAAATTCCATCAGGGCCAACATTCTCAAAGCCAGATAACAATCTTGTGGACTTGTTTTCACTAAGTTTGGTGCCTTTGAAGTGGCTTAGCTGGGTTACCTAAGCGCACCAGACACCTTGGGTAGGTCTTGGGTCCAAAGCCACATCTGGGAGATGTGGCATCTTAGCATCTCCATTCTCATCTCATGCTGCTGTGAGCTGGCTGATGTTTTACCAGATGTACTGGTATATTGCTCTTTGCCTTGAAATTAACAGGAATTGATGGTGTTTGGCAACTACTGAAGACACAGTCTTACTTACTGATGACAGTGTGCAAATAACAGGGTCGAAAATAGGCACTCTTTGGAAATGTTGGCTTCTCTGCTCTCTATCATATCTGCAGTGAAGATAAACCTGACTATTAAGACATATGTTTAGTTTATGTAAGAGCTTAGCTGAACAATATAATGTTTCAATGGAAGGTGAAGAGTACGTATATGGATGAAAAGCAGTTGATTGTCACAATATGTCTACCAAAAGGAAAATAAGGTCATTCACAAATCTTAACATTTTATGGAGGGAAGAATATTTTTTTTTAATTAGGATTAACTTATTATCTACTTAAAATGTGCCCTTGCATATAGGTCTAACAGAGCCTATGGCAACACCTATAATTTTAAAATAAAACTGGTTTTCCAAGAAGAAAGTAATTTTGAGTGATAACTAATTTAGATACTGCTAATTATATTGGTCGGAACTTGCAAGGGAGTCAATGGATAAAAAATTGATTAAAGCAAAGTTATAAAACAACAATAAAAAGCACCAACTCTGCTCTTTAAGATATTCTGAACATTTTAATATTTGTTCCTGCCAGCTCTCTTAGCTGGACTGGAAAGTAAATGTTTTCAGACACCTGTCTAAAATTAAATGAGAGGAAAAAATAAGACCTTTTTGGTCAGAACAGGGGGTGTGTTCTACAATCTGAAATGCTGCTTAAAATGATGTAGTAAGTTAAATAGCACTGTAATTTATATGATCCTTTGGTTGTCTGTTTTGAACCAATGGCCAGTGCTACTGTGTCTTGAGACAAGCAAGGAGGTAGTAGCAGGTAGGATTTGTAAACATTTCTGTCTCTTGCAGCAAGCCACTGTGGGGTTGATCACTATAGGTTCTTCCAAGTGCGTTAGATGTCTTGTGATGTAAATCCAGCTGGACCCTATATTTGTGTAATTTCTTCTGGAAGTAATTTCCTAGCTTAGATCACATATACCAAGAATGCTTCATGTCTTCTTCCAGCTGTTTCATCTTTGGGTTTACATCTGCGGTGAACCCTGAAGCCTTGCTGGTTCATAGCTGGACATGTAGTTTCTAATATAGGAATAAACAGATCCATTCTTGGCTTTGTGGCCATGAAAAGCATAAGCATGACAGCCTTGCCCATGCTGGAAGCAGTGAGCACAAATTCCCCAAAGAACAAATCTCTTTGAGAGAATGGGCAGAGACAGATGAAGAACAAGGCGTAGTTAGTTCTAGTTGGTTGCTAATTTTGCTGATCACCTCACTCAAGCAGTGTGCTTCCTACCCTCCTGGCTGAATAATTTACACAAGAAGATGGTTAAGGTAGTGAATTTTCCTGAGTGTTCAGGAAGACCTTACTGAGCTACAAAAAGAAGCATCTGACGCTTTTATCCTAACTACTGGATCTTGCCTGTGAGTGTCCTGGTTTCCCCTAGCTGTATGTGGTATCTCTTAGCAGCATGTTGTAGCTCATGCTCAGAAGTTTCTCCTGTGGAAGCTATACTTCTGTGCTCTCCTTTGTTCAGATTTGCTATTTCCTGGAAACAGAAACAGCCCAAAGCCATGAATTGTCTTACTTTGTGCATAAAGGTGGGCTGTTGCTGGCTGCAGAGAAATGGTCCTGGATCTCTTCTGCTGCTACACAGTGGAGTATCTCAGGATAATGCATCTCTGTGAGGAGAAACAAATACAAGGCAGCAGAAGAAGTAGAAGACAATATAAGCACTCCTCCTGTTTTGGGTTTTTTTTTTTTTTTTTGTATGCTGTTCCTCTTAACCAGCTGCATGAATGTTAGGGTTTTTTGCATTTTAGGCAGTTTTGCTACAGAGAAATTCATCACTGTGTACAGTGAAGGTAACATGTACCTAAAGATTTTTGTGTAACACAAGATTCTGATTATGAAGTGATGAGGCAATTTTACCTTTCCAGCTCAAATTAAGCATTATTCTTATTGGTGTTATTGCTGTTTGGCTATTCATAGCAGGCTTCTGAGCTTGCCATGGGTCTTGCTTGCCTTACTGTGTCTTAGACCCTAGTGCTCATTAGTGTCTGCTTTTTGCTTCCACTGCTCGCTGTACAGCTTATCATCTGACTCTGCTGTGTCTGGGAACATTCTGATAGCAGCAGTGGTGATGTGTTTGGTCTGGCAGATGGCCAGGACATCACTGCTGTTTCTGTGCTGCTGTACTGCGGAGGCTGGAACTCCAGTATGAACTTGAGTCGAAGGGACTTCAAACTATGGCTCTCTATGTAGGAGCAGGACACCTCAAAGGGTCTGTGGCAGTAAATAAGTCCACACCAAAGCAGGTACATCTCAAAGTCTCTGTGTCCATGGTCATGTCTGGTCACAACAGGTGTACTTCTGAAATGATTGTGGCCCAATGATAAGACCATGATGGAGAAGGTACATCTCAAAGCATTTGTGGCTGTGGGTAAGTTCATACTGTAGCAGGTACACCTTGAAGCATCAATGTCTGTGCATGAGGTCATGCTGAAGCCTCTCAAAGCATGTGGCACACAGCTTGGTGTCATCGGCAAACTTGCTGAGGGCGCACTCAATCCTGCTGTCCGTGTCACCAACAAAGATGTTGAACAAGACTGGTCCCAACACCGATCCCTGAGGGACACCACTTCTTAGTGGTCTCCAGATGAACATTGAGCCATTGACTACAACTCTTTGTGTGCAGCCATCCAGCCAGTTCTTTATCCACAGAGTGGTCCGCCTATCAAATTGATGTCTCTCCAATTTAGAGACAAGGATGCTGTGCGGGACAATGTTGAACACTTTACACAAATCCAGGTAGATGACATCAAAAGCTCTACCTGTGGAAGCATGGTTAGCAGACAAGGGTCACGTTCCCATGGCTGAACTTGGCCAGGGACCAGTTTTGTAAAAGTCAGTAAGAAACCCAGCTCGGTAAAACACCAGCTGTGCAAAAGGATAAGCTGACCTTGTAGTTAAAGAGTATCCTGAAGGGAGGAACAAGGATGTTAGAAGAAGGGATGTAACCACAGGAGTTTCCCAAGAATGTGTGTGTGTAGCAATCTAGCTCTCTATATACCCTAGGCTTAAGCAGAATAAACGGGTCACTTTATCAATCATATTGGTTGTGCTGTGTTCCCTCCGCATCGCGACGACATAGAGTCTCTGACATCTACTGCTGTCCATCAGTTCCGTAGCCCCATCATAAAAGGCCACCAAATTGGTCAGGCAGGATTTCCCCTTAGTGAAGCCATGCTGGCTGTCACCAAGCACCTTGTTGTTTTTCATGTGCCTTAGCATGCCTTCCAGAAGAATCTGCTCCAAGATTTTGCCAGGCACAGAGGTGAGACTGACTGCTCTGTAATTCCCTGGGTCATCCATTTTCCCCTTCTTGAAAATGGGGGTTATATTTCCCTTTTTCCAGTCATTGGGAACTTCACCTGACTTCCATGATTTTTCAAATATGATGAACAGTGGCTTTGCAGCTTCATTAGCCAGCTCCTTCAGGACCCACAGATGGATTTCATCAGGTCCCATGGACTTTTGTATGTTCTGGTTCTTAAGATGGTCTCAAAACAGATCCTCTCCTACAGTGGGCTGAGGGTCTTCATTCTCACAGTCCCTGCATCTGCCTTCCAAGACTTGGGTGGTGTGGTCAGAGCCTTTGCCAGAGAAGACCGAGGCACAGATGTCATTCAGAACCTCAGCCTTCTCCAAATCCAGAGCAGCCAGTTCTCCTGATAGCTTCCGGAGGGGGCCTGTGTTGTCCCTAGTCTTTCTTTTATTCGCTACGTACCTATAGAATCCCTTTCTGTAATACCCCTAGCCAAGTTTAATTTTAACTGTGCCTTAGCTTTCATAACCTGGTCCCTAGCTTCCCAGACAACGTCCCTGTACTCTTCCCAGGCCACCTGTCCTTGCTTCCACCTTTTTTAAGCCTCTTTTTTCCTTCGAAGTTTCCTCAGCAGCTCCTTATACATCCAAGGAGAGATCTCCTGGCCCGCCTGTTGCACTTTCTTCTAGTCGGGATGCAACACTCCTGAGCTTGCAGTAGGTGATCCTTGAATATCATCCAATAGTCTTGGGCACCCCTGCCCTCTAGGGCGATATCCCACAGAACCTTACTAAGCAGGTTCCTGAAGAGGCCAAAGTCTACTCTCTTGAAGTCCAGGCAGTGAGCTTGCCACATGCTCTTCTCACTGTCCTGAGGATCTCAAATTTGACCATCTCATGATAGCTGCATCCAAGGCTGCCCTGGAATGTCACATTTCCAACCACCCCTTCCCTGATGCTGAGCACGAGGTCAAGCATGGCACCCTTCCTTGTCAGGTCCTCTGTTACTTGCAGAAGGAAGTTGTCTTCCACACAGTCGAGGAACCTCCTGGATTGCTTTTGCTGGGACGTACCTTTGCCCCAACAGATATCAGGGTAGTTGAAGTCTCCCATGAGAACAAGAGCCTGTGAGCATGAGGCTGTTCCTATCTGTCTATAAAGTACTTCATTCACAGAGTCCTCTTGATCAGGCAGTATGTAACAGGTCCCCACAGTAATGTCCCCCATCTGAACCAATGAAGCACGAGCCTTACAAGAAACAGAGTAAGTGCAGCAGTAACTCAACCTGAGCTGGCTTTGGTGCCCAGTAACTCCACACAACACACTACCTCTGCTGTCCTAAGTGACCACCATAACAGGTGGAGCCCAAAGTCATAGACTAAAAGTGAACTCAATGGACATTTTATAGGCATGTTACAGACATTTCACAAGGGTGGTTCATGGACTAAGGGAATGATATCTATATATAATATCAAAGGATAGGAAGTGGAATGGTGGGTAATGAGATTGTATGGGACAGTATGGTACCTGAGCATGATACAAATTGTATGGACTAAGGAGTGGAGAATGTGATGGTTTTGGCCATAACAGAGTTAATTTTCTTCACAGTAGCTAGCATGGGACTAAATTTTGGATTTGTGCTGAAAATAGTGTTGAAAATACAGATATTTTTTCATTATTGTTGAGCAGTGCTTACATGGAGACAAGGTCTTTTCTGCTTCTCACCCCATCCCAATAGTGAATAGGCTGAAGGGGCACCAGAAGTTGGAAGAGGACACAGTGATTACAGCTGATCCCAACTAACCCTATGGATATCCCAGACCATATAAATTTATGCTTATCATATAAATCTTGGGAAAGACGAAGGAAGGGGTGCCGGGTGGGGGAGGTGTTCAGTACGATGGTGCTTGTCTTCCCAAGTACATGTCCACCCAAGTCTTGGAAGGCAGACGCAGGGACTGTGAGAATGAAGACCTTGGGCCCACTGTAGGAGAGGAATTGGTTCGAGACCATCTTAAAAATCAGAACGTGCGCAAGTCCATGGGACCTGATGAAATCCATCCGCTGGTCCTGAAGGAGCTGGCAAATGAAGTTGCTAAGCTGCTGGCCATCATATTTGAAAAATCATGGCGGTCAGGTGAAGTTCCCGACTACTGGAAAAAGGGAAATCTAACCCCCATTTTCAAGAAGGGGAAAATGGATGACCCGGGGAATTACAGACCAGTCAGTCTCACCTCTGTGCCTGGCAAAATCTTGGAGCAGATTCTCCTGGAAGGCATGCTAAGGCACATGAAAAACAACAAGGTGCTTGGTGACAGCCAGCATGGCTTCACTAAGGGGAAATCCAGCGTGGAGAAGAGAAGGCTGCGTGGAGACCTCATAGCAGCCTTCCAGTATCTGAAGGGGTCTTATAGGGATGCTGGGGATCGACTCTTCATTAGGGACTGTAGTGACAGGACAAGGGGAATGGGTTAAAACTTAAACAGGGGAAGTTTAGATTGGATATAAGGAGGAAATTCTTTCCTGTTAGGGTGGTGAGGCACTGGAATAGGTTGTCCAGGGAGGTTGTGAATGCTTCATCCCTGGCAGTGTTCAAGGCTAGGTTGGACGAGGCCTTGGGTGCCATGGTTTAGGGTGAGGTGTCCCTCCCCATGGCAGGGGGGTTGGAAATTCATGATCTTAAGGTCCTTTCCAACCCTAACTATTCTATGATTCTATGATTCTATGATTCTATGATTCTATGATTCTATGATTCTATGATTCTATGATTCTATGTTATGAATAATGGAACCCAGCTTTCCTGGAGATGGCTGAACACCTGCCTGCCAGTAGGAAATGGTGAATGAATGCCGTGTTTCACTTTGCTTGTATGCACGTCTTTTGCGTTACCTATCAATCAACTGTCTTTATCTTAAGCCATGAGTTTTCTCTCTTTTGTTTTTTTGATGCTTTCTCCCATCCCACTAGGGAGGAGGGAGTGAGTGGCTGTGGGGTGCTTAGTTGCTGAGTGGGTATCCTGGGTTAAAACAGTGGCATTAAAACACTAGGGTTCATATTTTATTCCATTTTAGTGCATATTAATGTACAATCCACTGCACCCTATGAGCACTTGAGTATTTTGAAATTATCTGAAGAAGGGACAGTTGTTAAAAGAAAGGGAAAATCAAATAAGAAATAGAGATATTTTATATACATCAGCTAGACTCTCTGTAAGCAGCCAGGCATAAATCATACTTTAATAGAGCTGTAAGAATAATTAATTTTTCAGTTTGGTGGTCAAACTGAAACACTGTGAGGGAGGAAGGAGAAGAGGTGAGTGGGGTGGGGAGAAACAAGGAGAAATGTTTGGGTCAACCTTAAATAACAATTTCTCATCTTCTCTCACTGAAGTGAAAGAAACACATACATTATCTGTTCCTTTGAAAAATGGCTCTAGCTGAGTTTCTAAACAAAACCTTCTAGAAGCAAGGTCTGAAGGTCCTGCCTGCATGGTGGTGACATTTTTACTTTTCTGAAATTTCTCCTTCACCTTTCTGTTCCTGGCCAAGCCCACCCAATAAATTTACTGTTAGTGTGCAAAGACCTTCATTAAACATGTAATTTGTTAAAACCCGATGCCCAGTTTCAGTCTGGTTCTGCAGCATCATTTCCAACACTTCTTAAACTGTGGACCCTGTGAGATACTTTCTGATGGAAGCAAGACCCCTGCTTTTAAGTCTATGAACAATAAGTTTACTTTTCTTGATGAAGTTTTCAAGGATGTTCTAAGAGGATCCTCCAAGCCCCTAGGAATACATTGTGCAGGGTAGGGGCATGTACTATGTTTAAGGCCATGGAGGATCTCAGAATACCTGGATTTCCATCATGCTCCTGCCATGAGTTGCAGTACAGGCTTTGTCCTATCCTCATCTTCTTCCCTTTAATAGGAGCCACTTGTTTTCTCTGTATTACAAATGTCAAACCAGACCTGGAGTACTGTGTTCAGTTCATGGGGACAAGAAGGACATGGACCTGTTGGAGTGAGTCCAAAGAAGGCCATGAAGATGCGCAGAGGGCTGGAGCACCTCTGCTATGGAGACAGGCTGAGAGAGCTGGACTTGTTCAACCTGGAGAAGAGAATCCTCTGGGGAGACCTTAGAGCAGCCTTCCACTAGCTAAAAGGTAAGAATGATGGAGAGGGGGTTTTGACAATGGCCTGCAGAGATAGGACAAGGGGGAATGGCTTTAAACTGACAGAGGGAAGATTTAGATTAGATATAAGAAAGAAATTCTTCCCTGTGAGGGTGGTGAGGTGCTGGCACAGGTTGCCCAGAGGAGCTGTGGCTGCCCCATCCCTGGCAGTGTTCAAGACCAGGCTGGATGGGGCTTTGAGCAACCTGGTGTAGTGGAAGGTGTGCCTGCTCTTGGCAGGGGATTGGAACTAGATGAGGTCCCTTCCAACCCAACCATTCAATGACTCTATGATTGTGTGACAAAAATATACATATAGGTGCCTGGCTGATAAATTTGTAAGGGTAAATTTCTTTGTGGGCAATCAGCAGGGATGCTTTAAAAGCATGCAAGCAAAAAGGGTTGCTATAAGAGAAATCTTTGAAGGGGTATTATCCACTTAGTACTGATAGCTCTACTAATATGGCAGCAATTAATATGTTGTTTGTGAAATAAATAGGAGAAGACCTAAATATTCTTTGGACTTACATATTATTAATGCTCTAATATCTGGTGGAATAATTGTAATGAAGCAGTAAGTATTCTCTCATCAGTTGTTTACAGAAATAGCAGTCTATTTAATCAGTAGCAATGCATTCAAGGTGACTAAATATTAAATATGATTGGCAGCTTACTGCTTGGACTAAAATGATTAAGTAATGTGAGAAAGTGACAGGTGACTTCAGTCCCCTTGAGGAAACATGCACCAGCCAGGAAATGGGTTCAGGCTTCTACTAATACTGGTAACAAATAAGTGCTGAAATGTTTGCTTGCAGCAGTCATTCTGGAAAGGAATGCAAATCCTGTTATACATCTTTTTCATCTGGGTGAGGTTGCAGTGGCAGCACTCACCAGCTTGGAGATACTGTGCATTTTAACTATCCCACAGAGACATACTTGCTTAGGACATGTTAGATCGCAATGCCAGCAAAGCCACTTGTATCATAGAATCATGGAATACTTAGGGTTGGAAAGGACCCCAAAATCATCCAGTTCCAACTCCCTGCCATGGGCAGGGACATCTCACACTAAGCCATCTCACACAAGGCCTCGTCCAAAGTGGCCTTGAACACCACTAGGGATGGAGCATTCACAACCTCCCTGGACAACCTATTGCAGTGCCTCACCACCCTCACAGTAAAGAACTTCCTCCTTATATCCAATCTAAACTTCCCCTGTTTAAGTTTTAACCCATTACCCCTTGCCCTATCACTACAGTCCCTAATGAAGAGTCCATCCCCAGCATCCCTATAGGTCGCCTTCAGATACTGGAAGGCTGCTATGAGATCTCCATGCAGCCTTCTCTTCTCCAGGCTGAACAGTCCCAACTTTCTCAGCCGATCTTCATATGGGAGGTGCTCCAGTCCCCTGATCATTCTTGTGGCCCTCCTCTGGACTTGTTCCAACAGTTCCATGTCCTTTTTATGTTGAGGACACCAGAACTGCACACAATACTCCAGGTGAGGTCTCACGAGAGCAGAATAAAGGGGCAGGATCACCTCCTTCGACCTGCTGGTCACGCTCCTTTTGACACAACCCAGGATACGGTTGGCTTTCTGGGCTGCAAGCGCACACTGAAGCTGGCTCATGTTCATTTTCTCATCGACCAGCACCCCCAAGTCCTTCTCTGCAGGGCTGCTCTGAATTTCTTCTCTGCCCAGCCTGTAGCTGTGTCTGGGATTGCTCCGACCCAGGTGTAGGACCTTGCGCTTGGCATGGTTAAAATTCATGAGGTTGGCATCAGCCCACCTCACAAGCGTGTCAAGGTCCCTCTGGATGGCATTCCTTCCCTCCAGCGTATCAACCAAACCACACAGCTTGGTGTCATCGGCAAACTTGCTGAGGGCGCACTCAATCCCACTGTCCATGTCACCAACAAAGATGTTGAACAAGACCGGTCCCAACACTGATCCCTGAGGGACACCACTTGTTACTGGTCTCCAGACAGACATTGAGCCATTGACCACAACTCTTTGTGTGCGGCCAGCCAGCCAGTTCTTTATCCACCGAGTGGTCCATTCATCAAATTGATGTCTCTCCAATTTAGAGACAAGAATGTTGTGCCTGACAGTGTCGAACACTTTACACAAGTCCAGGTAGATGACATCAACTGCTCTACCGCTGTCCATCAGTTCTGTAGCCCCATCATAGAAGGCCACCAAATTGGTCAGGCAGGATTTCCCCTTCGTGGAAATCCTTCTTCGCCAGAGAAGACCGAGGCAAAGAAGTCATTCAGAACCTCAGACTTCTCGAAATCCAGGGCAGCCAGTTCTCCTGATAGCTTCGGGGGGGGGGGGGGGGGGGGTGGGGTGGGAAATGTGTTGTTTCTAGTCTGTCTTTTATTTGCTATGTACCTGTAGAATCCCTTCCTGTTATCCTTAATATCCCTAGCCAAGTTTAATTCCAACTGGGCCTTAGCTTTCCTAACCTGGAAAACCTGGATGTTGTCCCTAGCTTCCTGGACAACATCCCTGTACTCTTCCCAGGCCGCCTGTCCTTGCTTCCACTTAGTGTAAGACTCTTTTTTCATTTGAATCTTTCCCAGCAGCTTCTTATCCATCCAAGGAGGTCTCCTGGCCCTCCTGCTGCACTTCCTTCAAGTCGGGATGCAACACTCCGGAGCTTGTATCAGGTGATCCTTGAAGACCAACCAAGAGTCTTGGGCCCCCCTGCCCTCTAGGGCTATATCCCATGGAACCTTACTAAGGAGGTTCCTGAAGAGGCCAAAGTCTGCTCTCTTGAAGTCCAGGGCAGTGAGCTTGCTGCACTCTCTTCTCACTGTCCTCAGGATCTCAAATTCAACCATCTCGTGGTCGCTGCATCCAAGCCTGCCCTGCAGTGCCACATTCCCAACGAGCCCACCACCGTGTTGGTGAGCACGGGGTCAAGCATGGCACCCCTCCTTGTTGTCGGTTCCTCTTTAACCTGCAGAAGGAAGTTGTCTTCCACACAATCGAGGAACCTCCTGGATTGCTTGTGCCGGGCCGTACCATCATTCCAACAGATGTCAGGGTGGTTGAAGTCACCCATGAGAATGAGGGCCTGTGAGAGTGAGGCTTTTCTTATCTGCCTATAGAGTGCTTCATCCACAGATTCCTCTTGATCAGGCAGTCTGTAACAGATCCTCACAGTAATGTCTCCCATAGCTGGTCTCCCTTTAATCCTGACCCACAAACTCTCTGTTGACTGCTCACCAGTCCCCAGACAGAGCTCGATACTCTCCAGCCTATTCCTAACATAAACGGCAACTCCCCCTCCGCGCCTGTCAGACCTGTCTTTTCTAAAGAGTCTGTAACCTTCCATTCCAACACTCCAGTCATAGGTGCCATCCCACCATGTTTCTGTGATGCCTATTCTGTCATATGCCTGCAGACCTGCACACATCTCTAATTCCTCATCTTTGCTCCCCATGTTATGGGCATTTGTATAGAGGCATCTGAGCCAAGCTCCAAATGAAGCCAGCTCATTGGCTGGAGCAGCCGGAATATCTCTGTATTGCTCCGAGCATTTATTATAGGTGCTGGCAGCTGACTGGGTGTGTTGGGATGGAATGATGCCCCCCTCCTTCAACACATCTAATTTAAAGCCTCCTTGACCAGTCTGGCAAGCCTCCTGCTTTTGTCAGACCAGCTCCACCAGCCCCCATTAGACATGGCCTACAAACTTGGGTCCCATTTTTCAAGACAGCCAAACCCTTGACTGTGACACCACCCTTTTAACCATTTATTAACCTGGCTAATCCTCCTAGCTTTTTTTAGATCCTCCCCTGTATCCTGGAGAATAGATGAAAAGACTATCTGAGCTCCAGAGCCCCTACCCACCTCTCCCAGGGCTCTGTAGTCCTTCTTTATGTTCCCCAGGCTACTGCTATCTAATATCCCTAGCACCCACAGGTATCACTAGAAGTGGGTAATAGTCTGTGGGGCTTACCAGAGCAGGCAGCCTCTCTGCCACGTCCCTGATCTGTGCCCCTGGTAGGCAACACACCTCCCTTGAGACCGGATCAGGTCAACAGATGAGTGCTTCTGTCCCTTTCAAAGTAGTGTCCCCTACTACTACGACCCGCCGCTTTTCCTGGCAGGACCAGTAGACAACTTCTTTAGCAGTGCATCAGCCGGCTGTTTCTGGCGCAAGTGCGTTTCCTTATGAGCGCCCTGCATGACAGCAAAGCTGTTCTGCGTGGGTGCAACAGGTTTAGGAGGAAGCCCCTTGCTTTTAATTGTCCTTTTCCTCCTTTTTTTGTTGGTTTTGTTACTATTTCCCAGCTTCCCGGGTTAACGACCTCCTTCTTTCCTCCATGAGCTACAGGGGAAGCTTGAGGACTCTGCAGTTTGGGCAGGGAGCAAGCAGTCCTGCTTCCTCTCAACTACCCTGACATCTTGTAGCCTATTAATAGCTTCCTGCAGCTCAGCCACCTGCTGCAGGAGAGCCTCCACCAGGGAGCACCCAGTGCAGCCCTTCCCATTGTGCACCTTTCCCTCACACCACCAGTGCAGGCACTCTCTACACCATGAAGTCTGCACTGCAGCCTCCCCTCTCATCGGCTCTGTCTGGGTGCCTACGGTGGCCACCGCTGGAGCAGCCAGAGCAGAGTTCCCAGACAGGGCCCTGGTCATCCTCAGCACTGAAACAAATGTAAACATCCCTGTGCAGATTGGCTGAGCCGTTGTGGCCTGCTGCACCATCAGTTGTTTGGTCTCTCATGTTCACCATTCTTGGAGTCTTTCCTTGTTGCATATCCCATTGCTTTGAATTGAGTTAGACAAGTGGGGGTGAGGGACAAATTGCAAATTGATTCCAGGAGCTCTAAGGTTGGTGCAAATTGGCATTTGCTGTAGGCTCTGATCTGGGTTGCTGGTTGCAGCTCTGGTTTGCAGCAAGCAAAGTATTTCCAGCACACTCTTTCACTGTTTAAGGGGGTTGCAAAATGATCCTTTCTCTAAACTTCATAC